GCAGGGGAGCCTGACTGATTCCAGCCTGGGGCGCCTCAGCCTCTCAGCGCCTTGCCGTAAATTTGCAAAAGTTCTGATTTCCCATAACTCCCCTACCTACCTGTGGGGTTTTTCTGTGCTTTTGCTCCCTTCACCTTTTTTCCCCTAAGTGTCTCTCTGGCCTGTGTTCCTGCTTCCTTGTCCCAGGCAGCTTTTCTAAACGGCTTTGAGCAGTCCTTGAAGATGGGCTGGCCGTTTCCTCCTCCCCAGCTTGCTTTAGCAGAGTTGTGCCTTGGGATGGTCTCTTAGGCTATGTCTGCACTTTAGCCTTCTTGTGGAAAAGCTTATGCAAATGAAGCTCGGTGTGGAATATTGCTGCACTTTGCATGATTAATGAGCAGCCGTTTTTGCACAAGTGGCTTAGGAGCTAGGGCATTTGCCTAGGGACCATGGGGGAGGAGGGTGGGTTCAAGCCCAAGCACCCACCCACCCCAGGGGCAATCAGACACAGGACAAGGGACCCCCTGAAAGCAGGGAGGGTGGGGTGGACTAGGAGATACAGCACTTGCTTGAGGAGGACAGGGTTGTGGGTTGGAGTCTCCACCCTGGGAGTAGCCAACACAGCTGTGTAGACAGCTCTTTTTCGCACAAAACCCCCCTCTTGCGCAGGAGCGGTTCTTCCTCCGCTCCTTTTTGCGCAAAGGCCTCTTGCGCAAAAACGGCTGCTTGTTAATTATGCAAATGAAGTGCAGTGATATTCCATGCCATGCTTCATTTGCATAAGCTTTTCTGCAAGAGGGCTACGGTGTAGACCTAGCCTCTGGGGTCCCAGCATTCCCGGGCATGCTGGTCGATTTTCACACTTTCACACTCTGTCCCTCGCTAAATCCCATGATTCCCCAGCGCTTCCCTTCCTGACCTGCCAAACTCGTACACGGCTGTGCTCTGTGCAGTGCTGCTCTGTGCAGTGCGTGGTTGCGGGGTGACGCTCTCCTGGCGAAGATTCTCTTCCCCACGTCCTGCTGCTGTAGCCAGTGTTAACGTTTGAAGGAAAACTGTCCCAGTTTCGAACCCGGGCGCTGGCTCTCACTTCAGAAATGAAGATGGTGTGATGGGAGCCATCTCCGCCCGGGGCATTCAGTGCTCTGTGACTCCCAACCCTCCGCCCTCCTTCACCACTGGCTGCTTTTCAGTGTCGGCCGGCTCCCCGCTCTCGGCCCAAGATTCCTGGCGTGGCTGAGAGAAGAGCAGAAAGGACTTGGGTCCCTTTCCTAGCGCTCTTGGTTCTTAATGTCTGACCCTCGTTGCCGTCAGCCTCCTATGCAGGGCTCGGAGAAGCATGGCTGCTGTTTTCTAAAGCCACAGTGGTTTCTTACTGTCCCCTGCCCTGGGGCACCTGCCCTCCCGAGCAGGCCACTCTGCCCACCTTGCCTTGTCATTTGGACATGATACTGGCAATGGGACAACAGATGGTTTTCCAGGGGCGGTGGGAGGAGGGTGGAAAATAGAAAGAGGCTTGGGGGGGGAGGGCGGGGGAAGGGTTCATGTAAATTGTTGGCCGATCAGTAAGCAGCCTTCGCTGCTGCTAGGTTTCGAGGCACAGGAAGCGGGACAGTAATGGCTCAGTAAACCTGAGTCTTGCTTAATAACTTCAAGTGCATAAGAGGAGCAGCCCTTCACCCAAGGAGCCTAGGACCCTGCTGGCCTTTCCTCCCCCCCCCTGCATTTCAAGGGGCTCTCACTTCTGGGATCAGGAATGAGCCCAAGTTGCAGCTGCAGCGTGGTGGCCCGGGGTGCACCCTGGGGGAAGGCTGGGTTCTGCGTGGGAAGGGGCCGCGTAGGTGAGGTCACCAGCCTGCCCTGCTGGGGTTGCTTTGTGTCATGCTGCGGCCCAGCCTGTTTTATTCTCTGCAGCCACGTCCTGGGCGGGTCAAGATAAGAAAAGGAGGCTGCAGCTTAGCCCCTGCGCTCTTGCTGGCCACCGCCTTGTCCCCAAATCCTGCATCCAGGGTGGTCGTATGGGGAGCGGCAGCAGGCATAGAAAGTCCTCGGCGGGCAGCAAGGCTAGGCACAACCAGAGCCCATGCGGAGAGCCGGAGGGACAGCACAGCAGCACACAGCTCCTGCTCACGAGCGAATGGTGGCCATGCAGCCCCTGGCTTTTAAACACAGCCGGGAGTGACTAGGTGCAAGGTCGGAGGGCAAGAAAAGATGCTGCACTTCCTAGCCATAGAAGTGAGCGCCACGGTGTGGTTCCGGGGGTGAGAGTTACTGCCATCTGGCTGATGGGGCAGAGGAAGAGAAGGGACAATTGTGTCAGGGCCCTGAGCTCAAGGGGGCCCCTGAAAACTTCTGTCACTGAAGTGAAATGGGAGAGGATCGGGCCCCAAAATGCTCACAATGGCCCAGGGCCTCCTTAACGTGAGCGACAACACAGGTAGGTTAGAAAGTGTCCCGCCGGGAGTGACTAGGTGCAAGGTCGGAGGGCAAGAAAAGATGCTGCACTTCCTAGCCATAGAAGTGAGCGCCACGGTGTGGTTCCGGGGGTGAGAGTTACTGCCATCTGGCTGATGGGGCAGAGGAAGAGAAGGGACAATTGTGTCAGGGCCCTGAGCTCAAGGGGGCCCCTGAAAACTTCTGTCACTTAAGTGAAATGGGAGAGGGGTGAGAGGGGGGCTGACTGTGCAGACCTTTGCGGGCGCTTCTCCCATGCGTGGCAGAGAGCATGACGCTGCCTGTTGGAACATTTTGAATCCTGGGTCATCGCGGCTGCCTGATCCGTGAAGCGAAGGGGAGCAGCGGATGCCGGGTGACACCGTAAGACATCAGAGGCGGCGGCATGGTTTTGGACAGGGCAGGGAAGGGGAAGACCGAGGAGGGATGGCAAGTGAAGTGGGAACGGAGAGCTAGGAAAATGCTCTTGGCAGCTGCACCAATGCTGAATTCTGCCGCCCCCAGCTCCAGGTGTGGCTGCTGGTTTCTGCCTCGGTTCGTTTATGGTGCCTGTATTGCGCTTGGCGATAAGAGCATGTTAATATGTTATTGCCCCTTGTTTGATCTGAGACACCACGCAGGCAATAAGGCAATCAAAGCTGCCTTTTGTGGCGAGGGAATATTTATGAGTCATCAAAGCAGGGCCAGTGCTCAGCTGAGTGTGGGGCCCTGGCCCTCCGGTTTCCATTCTTGCCAGCGGGCAGGTGGCTGAAGGACCCTGTGGAATGGGAGTGACTCCTCTCCTTGGGGGTGCTGCTGCAGGGGTGGTTGGTAAAGCCCGGAGCCAGGACAGCTGATTATCGGCTCGGGCCGGGTGCCCCCACTGCACACCAGCCTCGCTAAGAGCTGACAGTAACAGGCAGAGCCGCAGTGGGGTTAGCTCCTGGGCCGGGAACTGGCCCCGCTGCGACTCCCCTGCGTATCGACTCGTTAATGGAAAATCCCTCGACTAGTCGATTCGTTATTTAACTAAATTGAACATCTCCAGGCGCCACTACTGCTGTGGCCACTGATTGTGGTGCCCTTGGGGCCCGGCTCCTCGTTTCGCTCAGGGCGCTGCACTCGCTGACCTGCTCGCCTTGGGCGCATCCTCGCGGATCCCGGCAGCGCGGCCAGCACTGCCAAGTAGGCTCCGAGGGCTGATAACAGCATGCCCATCAAGATACCGGGCCCAACGGCAGCCGCCCAGCACTGACAGCTGAGCGGGCACCGAAACGGCACAGGCCTCCAGCCCCCGGAGAGAGGCGCCTGAACTGCTTCTCTGAGCTGAGTGAGCAGAGGAGAGGGGCTGTTCCCTGGGCTGCAGAGTAGGTGAACCCGTTAACTGGGCACTTTCCACTAGCCTGAAATTGACATGGAGAAAACTAAGCCAGTGTGGAGAGCGGGGGCTTTGGACAGCACTGGAGTCTCCTCATCAGTGCGCTGAGTGAAC